CTGACTAGATATCCTGGGAGATGGTGGACGGACCGGGTCCGTAGGGAACCCTACCGGGATTGTGGTCTCACATGCCGGACGGGGTATGGAGATCTTATGGTTTTGGCGCCCATACCGGACGGGGTATGGGGACGGCCCGTTTCACCCTCATACCGGACGGGGTATTGAGGTTTATGGTTTTGGCGCCCATACCGGACGGGGTATGGGGACGGCCCGTTTCACCCTCATACCGGACGGGGTATTGAGGTTCATGGTTTTGGCGCCCATACCGGACGGGGTATGGGGACGGCCCTGGAAACTGATTATGAATGTTAAAGGTTAACGGGTAGCGGAACCCCTATGGACCCCCACGGATACTAGTAGGCTGGTAAATGAGAAAAAAAAGATATGTTGTACAATGATTGTATTACAAGAAGCGTGATAAGTGTTATGTTTTACAGCTTAGATTATTCAATGATTATGATAATGTTATTGTTTTCTCATATTGTTTTCATAAATTCCACCAAGGTAAGTGGATGGTAAAGGTTTTATTATTGATAAAAGGTTTTGTTGTAAATTATGCTCCATTGGTCTTTTTGTGTTTTCTACCCACCTTTACCTCCGTGACAGTGAGATATCGTGATGTCCTTACTGGGCTAGTGTAGCTCATTCCTTATTTAATCATTTCAGATCAGGAAGACATTGTTCTCGAGCCGGTTCCGCAGGAGGACGACGTAGGGGACGCCTAAAGACTTCATAGTCATATTTGTAGCTTTTACTTTCAAGTTTCTCATTTAGGTAGTTTAATCTTTTATATTGTGAGCACGTTTTTGGTTTTAGTGTAAGGGATGTTAACCGAATTTTTGACTTCGCTTTCGCATTTGATATTTTTAATATACATTCCATTTTGAATTTCTGGGGTTGTTACACACATAACCTTTTATCCCTTTTTCTTTAGTCACCATCATCAAGTCACACACAAACATGCAAACCAGTAGTTCATGCCTACAAGACAACACACAACATCGGGTTCTCAGTCATTCAGTCCATAATCAATGAAACAGTGATACATGCACACGAAACTATGAAATAAAAACATCAGACATCATACTGCATTTAAAATTGTAAAATAGAACAAACAACAACTGACTGACAAATACACCAGACTCGGGCTCCATTAGCAACCTTAAACAATTTCACACATCTATTGATTCATGAAATACCGTTTTATCATTTATTAAACTTTAATACCGTGATAGGAAATAGGGTGAGGAATCCTTACTTGTTTCGGGATCTGAATACGGCTATACAGTGCGCCTATAGACTGTCCCTAATTTTTTCTGAATTTTTTCTGGGGAGCTGAAACGCACTACTAGTACATGCACGTGTCCCAAAAAATCCCAAATTAGACCTAGTGCCCCTTTCGGCCAATATCGCAATTCCGGCACGACAGCTCTGCCGTGCTCTGGCGACGGCGATTCGCCTCGGGTTGGCCGTTTTCGACCGTTTCCTGCCGAATTCGGCCACACTTGCATCGGTCCCTGCGATAAAACAACCCTAGGGCTCTCGGTGGGCCAAAAAATTACGAAAAACCGAAGTTTACCAGCGGCGGTGCTTTCAGGTGCGGTGGCTCTCCGGTGTGAATCGTGTTTTGGTGATTTGGCTCCGATCAACCTGTAGAGAAAAGAACGGTGATCACAGTGGTATAAAATTTACATCGAACGGAGGCCGGGAAGGGCCTCATCAGAGGCAAAAACCGAGGAGGGGCACGGTGGCGCCGCTGGGTTTCGACTGAGTTTTCCAGCCGTTTGGCCGGTGGTTTGGCTCTGGTTTGGCCATAGACGGACTCAGCGTC